TGGCACATCAGTATGTATCTGAGAAAACCACTGTGGTCAGCTACCCCTTTCCTACTGGGTATTCAGTGAGTGACAGCATGTGTGTGAATCATGAAAGAATAATTGAATTTACTGTCTGGATAATGAGCTACTATTAATAAGTCTACTATATCAACTTAATAAAAGGTGTGCTAATAAATATTGGTTGATCTCTTTCTACACAAACTTGATTCTGTACTAGGGAAAAAGCAATTTACAACATTTAATCTCCAAGGGGATAAGACTTAATGATGGTACCTGTCTTTGCCCTTACCTGTCATTCCCTGTGGTTTCTTAGAGAAATCTTCCTTTTGCAGCTTCACTGCTCATGTTTGCTTCAGTTCTTATTAGTGTTCTAGGAGCGTTTCACAGTCCTTTGTCACTTCAGCAATCTATATTGCCTTTTCACCCTGATTCCCTTGAGGCAGCACAAGGTGAGTGATTTTTGAATAACTTAGACTTTGTTGTGCTTTTGGTGAGGTCAGGCATATTAAAACAAGGTGGAAACAAACCAACACATTAATGAGGAAGGAGGTCCCTGGAATTTCAAAAAATGTGGTTGTGGTAAGTATTTCATATGGAGCCTTGGAATAGTCATGTTACAAAGTGGATGCAGGTCCATAGCTTAAGATGGCCATGCACGTGCAGTGCCCCACTACGTGACTTTACAAACTGCAGCACCTCCTTTTTTCTTTAGATCGGGGCTGCAAATCACCCCCTGGAAAATGATATTCATCTCACAAATTGTGAGAAGAGGAAGTTGGAGCTAATGGTTGAACACAGGTTTTAGACTCCCCTGATTGCTGAGGGTGGCCCCATTGCTGAGACTGATGATCCATAGCCCTAAACACCCTTCCCCAGGAGTGGCCTGGTTCACTGTGTCTCAGCCGTGCATGGCCACTCTGGTTGCTCCTTTGCAAGAATGCAGAAGAACCTAACACAGGTGGTGGCTGCAGCTGTCAGGAGCGATGGAAGTTGGAGTGTGTGTCTAAGAAGTTTCCTTCTGCCAAAGGAGTGGGTGTCTCCACAGAACCGCTTGGGTGAGAGATCCATTGGGGGAAGGAACAACCTTCTTCCTTTTCTACAAATAATTTTGGGTTGTTAACTATCCCCGTGGCTTCTGAAATAGAAAACAAACAAAGTCCGTTCAGGAAATGTGGGGTTTTGACAGTATGGTTTCAGCTACCATTTGAAAACTTCAGAAATACTTAGTTTCTAGTGTTAAAGCAGGGGGATTCTGCAGTTATGGGCAGTGTTGAAGAAAGGCTGAAAGTACTGGTGTATTTTAATGAAAATTGGAAAATCTTGAAGTCCAGCTATGCTTTCAAAGCCTAAAGGCAATTTCTTCACAGATTAGAAATGGTGCTGTCATTTTGCCTCCTTCGTTTCTTTGACAAAAGCATGTGGGCCAATTCAGACTCAGGGCTTTTAACTCTGTTTAGAATATTTATATTAAAATGGTAAAGATCATATGGTTGTGACTGACAAATTTCAGGTGTGAATGGACGTGGCCAAATCACAGTAGTTCATTATGATGTAGCTGCACTGTGGGCAATGCATTTCCCTGTGGATACTGCTTAAAACTTCTGCACTCTGTGATACTTCCTGCTTTTGCTTGAAAATAAAATCATGAGTCATTCTGGAAGGCAATTAAGGAACAGATGAAATAAATAGGAAAGAATGACTCTCATAATACTCCAAGTATACTTCTGGAACTACTTGTAAGTTCTTATAAAGTCTCACAGATTTATACTTTTTCAGAATTTCTGGTTATTTGTGGGTATTCAGGCTGCAAGATGGGAAGGACTAATAGAAATGAAAATCAGTAGCATGGGACTAGCAGGAGGCAAACGATTTTTCAACTCTTTTGAAGCGGAGCATGAAGTATTTTCTAACTTTTGCTTAATTTCAGGGAAATTAATTGTAAGCACTGAAATGCTCTCAAATTGTCAGGCAAAGTAAGATTCCTGCTCTCTTGGGAAAAATTGGCATCTATAGTGATTAGTGTTATTTTAATTAAAATAAGTTTAAGTATTATGATTACTTACTGATAGCTATACTTGTGTGCCTAATGAGTGCTGTAGCCTATTTATTTGAAATTAAGGCCTGCTGTAGGGCATGTATAAGTTTAAACAGTGTATGTGTGTATACAACTGTCCTGCTTGAGGGGAAAAAAACACCCAAAACTGAAACAACCTGACACCATTACAGCTGTTTCACCTTTTCTTTTAACTTCCCCCACTGTTCTAAATGCCACAATACCCCACTTTCTGCAGTAACTGTAATTCAGACACTTGCCATAGGCAGGTTATTATAAGCCAAGTCATTATTTGTGTAATCACTGGGTTTTGTATCCTTACTTCTTATGATAAACAGTTTCACCTTGTCATCACCAATGATGGAATTGGACTTTCTGTTGAAGCTGCTCTGTATTCGACTCTTTGTTGTCTTTTGCAAATCTTTACGACTCCAGGTCACTTAACTGTAGAAATGCCTCTAGGTCTATTGCAATTTTCCAGGGTTAAAGTATTAAACTGACAGGTAAAGCAAATGTTTATAGGACTACAATTTCATCTGCTCCTTCAAAGTGGCATAAAAATATTTTTGGAATTCCTGGCTAACACTGGGCATGAAACTTTACCACTTTATTAACAGTAATTCAAATACACACTGCTGTCTTTTCAAGAAAGCAAGTCAACCTGTTCTTAATTTGTTGCTCAAGGAAGTTAGACCAAGCATAAACATGGATTTATTGTACTGTTGTGCGTAGTGGATCTAGAAGTGTGTTGTCAAACAGTAGGATCCACTCCTGGAAGATTCTTTACAAATATAATACTCATATATGGTCCCTGGGGCAGAGAGCATGCCGCTGAAGGCTGGACATGTGTAGGATGGGTTCAAGAAAGGAAGAAGAAAAGTGTATGTTGTGATGGCAGCCTGTGTTTTACACTTTTGAGGATGGGTTTAAGATATCAGATGATGAAAGCTTTTGAAAAACAGAGGCTGAGGGATGGGCATGATGAAAGGGAGTGGAGTGCATAGTACAGAGCAGACTCAGATATTCAGGTGCACAAAATGCAGTTTTGTATTTTGTCCTGTGCTTTCAGTTCTGCTACTTCTCCTTTGCAGCCTTTCCCTAGGCCAGACTACCTTGGGAAGGGTGGGGAAAGAGACATGGGATGGGTCACTCCTTTTCATTTGAGTCAGTTGTCTCCATGTGTTTCTGGATCCAAGAAAAATATTAGAAAAACAGTGGCCTTGGTCATCTCTACTCTTAGGCAAAGTGCTAAGCAAAACCTCAGACAAAACAGATTTCAGCACAAACTGTCCCACATAGCACCTTAAATGTCTTTTCCAACCTAAACAGATCTATGATCCTGTGATCTCTTCTTTCTGCAGGCAATGGGCAGGAACTTCCTTGTACCTGTGCAGCACCTGCTTGGCACTGCTAAAGCAGGTAGTGTAGAAACATTTTGACATTGTTAATTTTTATAGACTAGTTATATGAATTACAGATAGCAGTACTGGCATTCTCTAAGCTTCCAAATCTGGTTCTTCAGGTTTCCTGGACTGAGTTTTTGTCCAAAATGTTTGCCATGTGGTGGTGCAGGACACAGGGGATCGCACCGAGGGTGCGTTTTCAGGGGAAGGTCCGGGCACAGAGTGAAGCTTGTACAGTACGCTTAGGATGCGAAGGCACAGGATTTGGTGGCGATTTTGAAAAAATTACTCCCATCCCAACTTTTTACCCTCCCAAACATTGTCCCGCGGCTCTGGAGATGGGTGTGCAGCCTGGATCTTCTCACGGATGCAGCGCAAGCCCCACCACCTGCAGCTCGCTGGCGCCCCATGTCCGCTTTTCTTCGTGGGACGGTTCTGGTCGTGGGTGTACCCCACTAAAGTGCCCCCAAAGTGTCCCCAAAATTCCCCAGTTCGCGCCGGGGAACCGTGAAGGGCCGGCGCGCGTCGGGCGCGCAGGGGGCGCGAAGCCTCGCGGGGGGCGGGGCCCGCCCCGAGCGCACCAATCAGAGAGCGGTGGCGGGGTGAGTGACACGAGACCAAAGCGCCAAACCACCCTTCCTCCTCCCAGCCCGCCTTCCGCCTTCCCGATAGCCAATCACAGCCGCGCTCCAGCTCCCTGTCCCGCCCCCGGCGGCGAGAAGCCAATGGGAGGCGCGGCTCCTGCAGCGCTCAGCCAATCAGCGGCCGGGCCGCCCCCTGAAGTAACAGCGGGCACAGCCCGTCCCGTAACCCCCGTTTGGAGGGACTGTTCGGTCCGCGGATCCTGCGATGGTGCTGGGGACGGCCGCACCCGCCGCTCCCCTCGCCCGTGTGGGGCCCGCTGGGCCACCCGCGCCATGACCCGCCCGCTCGGCGAGGGGCTGCCGTCGCCGGGCCCGCCTGTCGCCATGTCCCGACGCCATGTTACGCTGGCGACCACGGGCAGGGAGGCGTCCCAGGACGGCAGGTACCGCAGGGGAGGGTCGTCGCCGCCGCTGTTGCCGCCCCTGTCGGCGCCGCGGCTTCCGGCGCGCCCGGGACGGGTGGCAGGGAGCGTCCCGGCGGGGGTTACCGGGGCCGCCGCGGGAGCATCCCCGGGAGCCCCCCCCCCCGGCGCTCGGCGGGCGGGGTGTGAGAGCCCCGCGGTGCTCCAGCCGCGGAGGGGCCGGTGCCGCCTCGTCGGTACTTGCACGTGGTGCCGGTGGTTCGTTGGCCGATGGAAAGGGGTCTGGCAGTGTCCAGCCGAGTTCTGGCTGGCGTCTCCAGCACACCCTTCAGGATGCTGGAGTCGTCCCCCGTGTGCCGTCCCGTCTCACACCCCGGTGCTGGAGAGCCCGTCTGTGGAGCTGAGCGGCTCTGGCGGTTCGGCTCTAACGGAGAACTGGGGGTGCCGTAGGTTCAGCTCCCCAACCCGCCCCGGCCGGGACCTGTGCCGATAACGGTGCTGCGGGACACGGTCTGCGGTGGAAGCGGTGGCAGTCAGTGACAGTTTTTAGAACCTGTCTGCTAACTAGAAATCCAAATTCAGATAAAGAGTTGGTGAGGGTTTTTTGGAGGCCACCGAGTTAAATAACCTTTGTTTCCTACAGAATGAGACAAGTAAAAATTTTCTTATACCGTTAGCAGCACCTTATTTTGTTCTGATCCTCTTTTTTTGGTAGCACCTACGTCTAAAGGAAGGGGAGAAGGTAAAAGTTCGGTTCGTTTTGCATCTTGTTTCTTGCCTGAGAAAGTGAAACAATGTAGTTTCGGTTTTGCTGCAGGTATCTAAAACACTGTGAGGTTTTCTGTGTGACTTTCTATTCTGAATGGTTTTTTTGTGTTTTCTATTTCTGCAGTGCTTTTCAAGATGCTACATCAAAGTTACATCAAAGATGTAACTTTTTGTAGTTTATCCCTCTGTTACCTGGATTTGCGTTCTCTGAGCTATTGCTAGTGTTTCCTTTTAAAAGGACAGTTTTTATCCAGTCAGAGATTAGCACTGTGGGGCTGTAAAATCTAATGACTTCTACCAAATGCTCAGGGATTTTGTCTTTTTAGACAAGTGAATTTCCTCCTTCCCTCTTTCATGCAGGTTGTGTCCTTAGTTTTGAAAGGCCAAAAGGTCTGTTAGGTTCCTCTCCTAGCGGTGTAGCTTTTTTCTTTGTCAGGCGAGATCATGTATTTATGGCTTTTGCATTTTCTCGGGGGTTTTTAGTGGTCTCCTTGGTGTCTCAGTCAAGATGAGAGATTTCACAAAAATGGGGGAGTAATCCTGAGGGAGGGATAAAAGGTTTTGCTGAATTTATATATTTTGCCATAAAGTGTTGACCAGAGCTGTGTAGTTGTTGATAAATATACATTAAACAACTGTGATTTTCATGTTAGGTAGTAAAGAGTGAAACCCAGTAACTTCTTACTAAAACAACCTGTAAATGGTTTGTGAAGAGTCAGGACCCCATTCACATAAAAAAAACCCCACATGTTCTCTTTGTACTTTCACATGTATGTGAAAAGCAGTTGGAAAGCCCAGTTCTTTCTCATGTTCTTCCCTGTACTGCATTACATGCTTTCTTTTTTCTCTTTTCACCCTTTGTTTTGTCTGAAGTTTCTAGTACACTTCCTTGACTGAGATACGATACAGAGTCCTGGTTGGACAGTTCCTCACCCTTGCACTTCCAAAAAGCAGAGTTACAAATGCAAAGGAGAAAATATTGGTGGATAAGTACTTTCAAACAAGTAGTCTAAGGCAAATCACTCTCCATCTCTCCATTCAAATAAAACTTTTATCCCAGGAAAAAGGGAAGTGCCTCCATTCCCTCAGTTATATTGTACAAGGCTTTGTGTAATTATGGAATAAACAAGAGTTTTGCTACAGAGCTCTTGCATTTAGAACAAAAGACAGCAAAAAGATAGAACAGTGTGTGAAGGACATAAACAGTCATTCGGAATCAGTGGCTGTGGAAACAAGGACAAAGATGGTGGAAGGCCTTGGTTTTGGATTTGTTATGACCCACCCCTGAAGGCAAGGGTAACACAAGATCCCTTGGGGTGGATTAGAGTGAAAGGACACTAAATGACCGGTGTTTATATGTATGTATACATACATACATACATACATATATATATACACAAACATATATATTTATTTTTTTTGCCAGTGGTCGATGGTTGAGGAATTAATCTTTAACAGTTCAGTCTTTCATGGTTTGTCTTCCAAGTTTAGGTGAAAAGAAGAATCTGAAAGGTAACTGAAGATGAGATTTGCCCTGCCAGCGGAGCTTCGTATGTGGATGGGGCTCTAACTGGGCAGAAAGTTCAGTTGCTTAGTTAGGAAAATAGAAAGGATTTGGAAAGACATGTAGTGTGGAAAGCTGTGGGCACTGGATGATTTTCCAGCTTGAGAGCAGTCCATGCAAGCAGCAGATGTGTCTGAGGAATGTGAGGTGGAGACAGCTGTGTTGTGAGCAGGTGAGATCAAGGTGGTCTAGGGCAGAAAGAGAAATCGGTCAGCAGAAGAGAATAAACCTGCATTTTAGCCTTTTGATTCTTCTGCTGAACTGAGATGTGGAGATCCTGTGTGCTGAAAATTTTGTATTATTTGAAAGTAGCTGAGCACTGAGTGACATAAGCAGCAAGAGTTAGTCCACGAGTTGAACTCTACTTGAACTACATGGCTCTGTTGTGTAAGTGAAAGATGTATTATAGCAAAACCTGGTGCTAATACCCTGAACATTAGTGAGAGTTAGACTAGACAAAGTTAGCAGCTTAAATATTACTTAAAAATTAATAGCTGGAGTGGACAGACCATAAATTGTGGTATATGAACAGTAGCAACTGTATTATAACATGGATCACAGAATTGTCCAAAAAAGACTGAAGAGGATGTGAAGATGATTACACAGCAACCACTGAATAATGAAACAGTGAAGCAAAGAAGAGTGAGAAGACCCCAGACCCTAAAATCACTATTGGTCTGGACTCTCATGAGGGATGCAGAGTTTAGATCGTAAGGGTGTAGTTGCCCTGGGATTTCCTTTTTTTGTGGCCCATCTTTTGAGGCACCAGCTCGAGCTACCAGATGACTGATTTGTGCCAGTAAACCTATCTAATGGAGTTGAGAGCCTGATGTCAAAAATTTCTTTAACACTGTTGTTGTAGCATGTGGAAAGAAAATGCATATTTTGGCCTATGTCAAATTGAGCTGAGACAGATTGGAGGCAGCTAGTCTTTGACAAGTTTTTCTGGTCTCTTTGGTAAGCCAAAAAAACCCCCGTTTTATGCACTCACACATTCTGATTACAGGTGGCTTTTCATTGAATTACAGTATTTTTAAATATCACTGCTTACCAGTAGTCTGATCTAAGAAGTATCAGTGCATTATAAACAGCTTTTTGTATTTCTATAGGTGCTAAAAATGCAAAAGCCATGTGAGAAAATGCAAAAGTGAAAGTTACAAGCTTAAAGAAAGATTAAAAATTAAATCCAAATTCATTTTGTATGAGCGAGCAGTGGGTTCTTCTGGCCTAAACTTCAAAAATGGTTACTGACTCTGTGGGAACACAGGCATGTATGGATGCTTGAATGTGTTAGTTTAGAATCTAGAATAAGTAAGTGTTTCCTTGATTGTCACTGTTGCACTGTTGGAAGGTACAGAATGGTAACAAAATAGGGAAGGAGGTCTTAAACCAATCTGTGTTCTTGCTTTCTCACACCAATATTTTGCTTGAAGAGACACTTCCAAGACAGGCATAAGTATAACCTTGAAGTCATTAGTAAACTGTGTGGGAGAAGATGAAGATAGCAAGTTCATAGATCCTGATGTATTTTAGTGTTCAAGTTGCACATTGCTCAGACAATCTGCCCGTTTTTAGAAACAATGTTCTCTAGTGGAGAAACACCTTGGAGTTCGCATGTTCCACTTGTTCTTGCCAGAGAAATATCTCTGAATTAAAGCTATTAATTGTCTCGTAGGTGGTTGTAGACTGCTGTTTCTGTTGGAAGCCAGAAAATGCTGGTGCTGGGTGCTGTGAGGGAGACCACTGATATATGTGCATTGTTAAGGGACAGTGCTGGTACAAATTCCTGCTGAGCAGTCGGGTAATAGTGCATATAGGAATTTGCATCTCATCATTTCTTAGATGTGTGAAAAAAGCAACAAGCAGTGATGCACAAAGGCTTTTAGACCACAAGACGAAGGTTACATGATTATTTGAGCTTTACAACTTGCAGGTAGAACTTTGTGGCACAAGAAGAAGGTTACAGGAGTATTTGAGCTTTACAACTTGCAGGTAGAACTTTGTGGTTAGACTTGACTGAAACCAATGATGCATTGAAGAGGGTTTGGTCACTGAGGGTAATGATGAGCCCAGCTTTATACCACTGTAAACCTTAAAAAAACCCAGACAAAAACTAGTAGTAGTTATCAGCTCAAAGTGATAGCAGAGATGGGGAGGTTGTTAAATGCCATCATATAAGGTGCTGGTGAGATCTTGCCTGGAATACTGGAAGCAGATGAGGTCGGTCCTATTCAGGAAAACTTAGTTTAAGCTGGAAGAGTAGTTAAGACTTGTTAGGATGATAAAGAAAACAGTTTGAGTGAGGAAACTGACAGGTTGACTTCATTAGCCAAGCAGAGTGAAGGCTAGAAGGTGAGGGGGATGATGATGCTTTTTCTGATTTATCAGCACTAAGAGCTATTGGCATTAAAAAATCTGTAGAAATAAATTACAGTATTTTAATTTTATTAATATTTACTGTATGGGCATTTAGGTATTGTTCTTTTAAAAAGATAAAATTATGTTTTCTTTTCTCTTCAGAAACCAGACCATTACAGAGTTCTTCAAACCAGTTTTAAGTCAAGGTAAATATGTAGTTTTTATATGGAATAAATTTATATGAATTTTAATTATATAAGTGTGCAGAATTATAGTCCAATCTCATTCCAGATTGGTGCAGCAACATAATGAGTATAGCCTACCACATAGGTCAAAATGTGCACATTTAATTTTTTTCCTAATAATGTAACTGAAAATGTCAATTTCCTGTTAAAATTAATTTCTTTAAATAGTGATGTAATTATTATTTCAAGTTATTGGCTTGCTTAAGCTAGATTATTTATAACAATTGAAGCTATGTTGTAGATCATGTGATTCTTTGATATGAAATAAGTCACATGGCAATACCAAAACTGAATGATTAAGTAACTTTACTTATTATGTGTGAGAGAGAGAGATAAATTATCAAGTAATATAGTACAAGAAGGTTTGTTGTTTTGTTTTTTTTTCTTCCAATATTGTGTTTGTGAATAATTTGTCTTTCCTTTTGTCTCTTAGACCTTGGCCGTAAAGACAGAATAGTGCTGTGTTCACCAGACAGAGGAAATGTAAAAGATGCAGGAATGGGACTGTCAGTTCTACGTGCTGAAGGTTTTGAAAGGAAAATATCTTCTCCAAAGAAGGTCAGAAGAAAAAGATGCCAGACCAAACACCAAACAAGTCCTGTGGTAGATGCCTTTCGAAAAAGAATTGAGGAAAAGGACAGTGTAAATATTTTAGAGAATGGCAGAGTGTGCAAGGCATCGGGTTCATTGTACCCAAAAGTTGAGATTAAGAAACTCTTTGTTACCGCGGGGTCTCTGAGCAATTTCTTGGCCAAAGAGGATAAGACTGTCAAGCCAGAACAGGAGAGGAAGGAGAGTTTTCTGGGTGTAGGAAGAGCACCATTGTCTTATGGAAATAGTTGGGAAGAGAAAAATGACTGTATGGATCTAGCAGACACTAGCTCAGACTCTGACAAATGTGTTTCACCACCAGAAGCTGATGCTCGAAAAGCCTGCACTAGAAATACTGGCACTGTGATCACCACATCTCTGTGCCAAAGCCCAGGTTCCCCCATGAAATTGCCCTGCTCTCCTACTGATTCTGCATTTAGGTTGTCACTGGAAGCTCCCTGCAGAGAAAGGGAACGGAAGAAACAGGAACTGAAACACTCTAAGCCACATCCTGTAAAACCATTCTCAGGAACAAATGTATTGTATCAGGTGTGTTTGAAAGGGTCATTAAAGTTTGAAATCACTGACCCATTGTGCATGTGAAGTTTTAAATTTTTTTTAATTTTTTTTTTTTTTAAGTTTGCAGTAGGAGCAGATTTTTTTTTTTTAAGTTTAAGTGTAGGAGCAGATTCTTGGTGCTGCCTTTTTCAGATGTAACAAAAGTTCATGTTCTTTTGCTATGCTGTTTTAAGTTTTAGGTCATACTTGGGTAAACCAGTTCTTAATCATTTTACAATAAAAGAAAAATCCTAGTTTAAAAGCAAGGAAGCTATTCTGGGCTAGATATAAACATGGAAATGCAAGAGAAATTGTAACTTGAAATTGTATTTTGTAGAAAAAAACACCTTTACCTTAAATGCCTTAAAACCTTGTGTTTTCTTACCATGTAGCTTAGGGAACAGACTGGCAAATTTCTGCTATTCAGAAGTTACAGTGAATAGCAGTTCAGATTTATGCATTTAAGACACAGTATATAGAAAGAGATGGGAATGGTCATATTAAGAATGTACTATTTCATTACAGGTTGAGTTGTGTTCACTCTTTAATCTGAAGAAAATACATACAATTTGGGTTGAGTTCTTTTTTTGAGATTTTTGCAGCGTTGTTTTAAATTTGTCTGGAAATGAGGTCTATTAATGTATTTTTGGGCATGTGTGGAACTATGTCTGTGCTGGATTCAACACTTGGCTCGAGATGTCAGCATCCTAGCTTTAAAAAGCATGCAATTAACTTTTTTTCCTTCCTCTGTCTTTATTTTTAGGGAAATGGATGTTCTTTAGGAAAAATACCACGTTTTAGTTCAAGAGAGACTGCCTCAGGTATGAGCAGTGCTGTTAATATGGAATTAATTAAACAATCAGATTCATCACTTAGTGTCTCTTTTTAATGGCTTTTTTTTCTTGAAGTTATGTTTTCTGTTTTATCTCACTAAAAAAAATAATTGCTGCTGTATGGTTAGTGTTATTTCTAATATGGCAAGTTTGAAGTGATTTAAAAGTAATTTGTGATTTTAGTGTAAAACAGATCATTTGTAACTTAATTAGAAGTCATGATGTTTCATTGTCTTAAAACCTTCATCTCAGATTATTTTTATGGTTTCTCTTGCATTTTGGATAATCCACATTTACTGTGGTGGTTAATAAATTTTGCCTTTTAGCTTAATCCAAAAAGAACGTTCTTGTTGAACAAATCACTAAAGTTTACCTGGTATTCTTGTTGCTTTTTGTCCCTTTTAACCACATAATTTTGTTTATGGGAGGTAGACCTGAATCTAAAAAGCTCACATGAGTAGAAGCTTGAGGTAGGTCAGTAGGATAAAATCTAAAAAAAAAAAAAGAAGGGTCTATAGCTGTGGAAACCCACCAGACTCTTTGCTGCTCTGCATCACTTTCCACTTGCAGAAGCACTTGGCCAGCAGTGCCAAAATTGAGTTGGGAAGTTCTCAGCCACATCAGCTTCATGAAGTAGCTCTCTGTGATGTGTCCAGGTGCTGGTGCCAGCTTGAGACAGGAAGCAGGAAAGCATGGTGAGGAAGGTGGGCTCTGATTCCACAGAACCATAGTCTAAAAACAGATTTCTTCATATTCTGAGCACTTTTTTTTTTTTTATGCCCATGGTTAAAATTATTGAAGTATTTCCAAAATACTTTTCATACTGCTTGTTATTTATACCCATAATATGGAACTTTATTCCAGTCCCATATCTTAACTGGGCTGTTGTCTCTTTCCAAAGACTGATTGATTCAAGTGTATAGGAAAAGGTTTCTGTGGTGGCTACAGAGCTGCTTTAAAATAAACAGATTTAAATTAATTTCCAAGTTAGTTACAGTAATAACATTACAGTATCAGCTAAGTCTTAATTGTGGTCCATTGTATTCAATCAGAATGGAAGTTTTGTAGTTTCTGATAAAAATTTTGGTCCTAGTTGACTTAAAAACAGAAGTTAGTTCTTTAAAGGGTAAGCTGTTATGCATTTGATTTTTTTTTTATTATTATTTTTATTTTTAAACATAACAACCGTGTTTTACTTTTTTCTCAAACACTTCATAGATGACCCATCTCAACCAAAGCTAAAGCAGGTTTTAAAAAAACATGAGGCATCTTCTCCACATGCATTTAGAACATCATCTGAGATGGCCTCTGGTTTGCCCAAAAGCCCAGCTGTTCCTTCACACTGCCTTCCACCTAAGGTGTCTTCTGGGACATCCAAACAAAGAGACTCTCCTGGGAAAAGAAAACAAACTGCCATGAGTGTGGATGAAGACAGTTCAGATCAATCTGATGTATCAAGTTTGAATGACCCTGCTTTTAGTAGATCATCTTCAAAATGCAAGAATAGGAGGACTGACTATGTAAAACATATCTTTTTAAAGTCTACTCATGGTGATGTTATGCAGCTGAGGGATGTTGCTGCCCTGTCTAGACACGATTCTACTCTTTCAAAGGAACACCTTAACTCGAGCGAGGAAAAGGAGAAAAATAATTGCTCTACTGTAGGTTTGCCATCTTCATATTCTGCACACAGCCCTGATAAAAATAACCATATTTCTGTTGTGGATACCAAAGAGAATCAATTGCAGCTGGCTAACTCATGTTTTCTCTTGGAAAAGTCCCTTCCTTTTTCTCAGGAAAAAAGTACTGTGTTGCCTTCTCTCCACTGCTTAACACAAACAAAGTGTGTGAAATCTCCTCTCAAGGTTGCTGGCTTATCTCAGGTACTGGATGCTTCTAAGAAAGAGCAGGATGGGAAAAAAACAGAAAGGCATGAACACGATAAAGCACACATAAACAGTATTCAATACAGCAACAGTTTTTCAAAAACAAAACACAGGACTTCAGGAAGTGCTTCTGATTCTTATACAATGGAAGTATCCAGGGAACTTGCACCCTCGCAGGAGACTGGTAACAATGTTCCCCTTTCTTTGCCTTTGAGAGAATGTTGCAAGGACAGCAGCCATATGTCTTCACAATCCTCAGGAGAGTTAAAAGTTGAAAACACCTCTACAGGCAAGTCCAAGCTGAATGGAAAATCACAAAGCAGCTCTGATAGTGAAGATGAGATTTTGGAATCCGTTCTAGATTATGAGGATGATGATGATGATGATGATGAAGAAGCATTGATGCCACTGCAAAAAGTTCTCTACTCAAGTCTCAAGCCACAGATGGGGACCTCAGGAGAATCTTGTGATGGTTTTTCTCAGGACACTGTGACTCCATTACTGAAGCTTCATGTAAGTGTCTATAACCCAAAAAAGCATGTTCTTTTAAGTATTCTTTTAAGTATTCTTTTATGGGTGTTATTTGCAAGGAAAATAATACAGATTTTAGCACAGTACAAGGCCCAGTGAGTGCTAAATTGTTACCTTGTGTTTCACTACCATCCACAAACCATAACTATTTACTAAATTCTTGTAACAGACAGAGACATATTGTTGTAGAATCAAATAGTCAAGTTTTTGTCTTAAGTGGTGTCAGTAGAATCCCTTGGTAATAACAATCAGAATGTGTATGAGTGATTGATAACAGTTGTTTTACATGAATTTTAATCAAAAATCTATTCTACACCGACACTTTGCCACCTCTTGTTCATTCTCATTATGCCCACTAAAGCTACAGCAAAGTGGAATGAGATAGCAGATAATCAGCTTTGTTTTGTTACATTTTTATATGGTTTTCTCCCTTACTCATAATGCATGAAAATTCAGAATTATTTGCCTGTAAAACTGGTTACTTGGCTTAAGGGTCCTACACTGTACAGTTACAATGTAGTCGGAGCAGGGACGTACTTGTTACTGTGCTTGTCCTTGGAATGTCTGAAGGATGGTGCAGCCAGATGTAGACATTGAGAGATCTGTGTGTTAGACTCCAGTCATATATCCTTGACACAGTCAGATTTGTGTACAAGTCAGTGTGATGTTTTCTTTCAGGTTGTATTTCATGGAAATTGGAAGTATTTCAGAAAGGATTTCAAAAAGCTGAATTACTTCTGCTCATAAAGGATAAAAGAAGTGTTTTTCAATCCCTGTGTACAGCATATTACAGTGATGAATTGATATGTGTTTTTAAAAATTAGGTCATTTGTTCAATCAGAACTTGTCAAATAAGTAGTGATTTTGAAGTTTTATTGTAAAATAATGTTTTAATAAGGAAGGTTCTGCAGTAGGTCTTAGTGTGTGGCATTCCTGGTAGCTGGTACAGGTTGGAAATGGCTGCATTTAAACAAAGGGATTTTGTACTGAGCCTGGCTTGGTTGGAGTTAATTTTCTTTGCCACAGCTGTATGGTGCTGTGTGTTTCAGACAAAACTGGTGTTGGTAAGAGACCTATTGTGGACCAGTACTTGAAAAGCATCAAGACTTTCTCTTCCTCTCACCCTGTCCCCATAGAGTAGACAAAAAGTTGGGAGGGAACAGGGCCTAGGCAGCAGACCCAGATGACCAAAGGGATATTTTCTATGCCAGGTAGTGTCATGCTCAGCAATCAAAACCAAGCAGGGAGAGTTGGTCTGGCATGTAGCCATTACCCAGCCTAGCTGGGCATCCTTCTGCTTGTGAGAGGTACTGAGTGACTGCCTTTGAATCACTTTTTCTTTTCCCCTTTATCCCTTTTTCCTTATTAAACTGTTGTTATCTTGACCGATGTGTTCCCTTGCCTTTGTTCTTCTTATTCGCTGCCCAGCACGAGCGGATGGGGAAATGAAGAAGCTGTGTGGTGCTTAGCTGCTGGCTGGGGTCAGCCCACTACTAGTTCCTGCAGTGGAAAACGAACAGCAGAATACCTGTAAAAATATTCTCTTCCCCCTCCCCTTCTCCTCATGTTTTTCTGTCTCTGGAATGGTTTATTTGTTGACTGAGTTACTACCTCCATGGGCAGATGTTGAAGAGCCATAATTATTTTATCTGTCCTTCTGATTCATTATGCAAGAGTGTTATAGATCAGACTTACATACATATTCCACAATCTTAGCCAATGTGTCTACGTAATTAATGGTTAAGCCTGATAAACAGATGCAGCCTAGATCAAATGTTTGTGGCATGTGTATGTGACCACAACATTTGGCCTGGCCTACATAATTGATTGCCAAGTAAGACAAAGCAGTTAGAAACTGTCCCACCATTTTCGTGACCATGGTTTTTGCATGTACTAACATTCTTCTCTTGCGTTGTGTGAAGGGGCACATGTCCACATTGGAATAAAGTTTTGGTTCCTCAGTTGTTCAACAGTCATTTTAGACATTTTAACCAGATAAAAAATGTGGGAAAGCTGAAGACTTCTTACCTTAATATTTCCCAAACTAAGTTATGCTGCTTGTTACATTTGAAAGGTATCTCTGAAGAGCAAGGTGGTGTCAGAGGGGCTGTGCTTGTCCAAAGAGCATAATCACGGCCATAAAAGATTTAAAATCTGAGTCTGCTACAAGCTGAATAAAAGACTGGCCACTGAAAAACAAGCCACTAGCAAAATTAGTTAAGGCTTTGCGTGTTGTTTGGTTTGTGGGTTTTTGTTTTGTTTTGTCTTTTTAATTCTGCTTATTAACTTCTTAATTTCAGTTTTATTAGGATTTTAATTGGAAGTTTTGTTCTGTCTGATGATTTTAGAGGTGGTTTAACAAACACTGGTACTTTGCCCTCCAGGGACTCTGAAACTAAGAAAAGGGTCCTGAATTATTTTTGGAGTTTCTTGTCTTGTGCACAAGAATGGGGATTCCCAGGGTCTCAGTGGCTGACAATAATAAAGTTGTGGGGTAAAAGGCTTCTGATGCTAATGCTCTTTGTGAAGGTGAGCTGGAGGTCAGCCCCAGAGATGCAGATTTTTGCTTCACTGTTCAGATCTATCGTGAAGAGTAGTCATTTCTAAATTAGTCACTGAGAGAGATTTGACCATTATGTAAAATTGTCAGGGGACTGAGAAACCTAACCTGTTAATCATCCTGTTTTGCAGGGTCTCCACTGGGTTTTTATCTGCATGTAAAATATCATTAAAATTGGAAGAGGTTTCTATTTTCATTGTGTTTATTGTCTAATACAATATTATGAATGAATTGATAGCTTGTGGTATTTTTTTAATTTCTTACTATTTCATTTACAGCTTTCTAAGACTCCTCCTGTAACCAAGGTGTCATATGTGAACAGCTTAGAAAACCTCTTGAAGGAAAAAGAAGAATCTAGGAGGTTTGTTTCTTAAAGCTGGTTTGAAAAATTTGGGATGGTGTTGTAGAAGCTTAGATTTACCTCATCTCCCCAAAACTTATGGAGTTTGATTAGCAACAAGCTAGGCTCTGGCTGCTAGTGGCACCAACATACATCTGACAGGACCTACAAGTGCGGCTTAACTCTAAAAGCTGAATGACAGGCTCCTTCCAAACAATAAGGAGTGATTTGTGATGCATCTGCCTACCCTTGAAGAGCCAGACTAAATTTACTGATGCCTTCATGGTAGGTCACTGAACCAGCTAGCAGCTGCTGGTCAGGCATGAAATAGGAATATTTATGTAGACTGACTGTACTAGTTTCTTCAAAGGTATTTGTAGCTCAGTTTTGGTTCCCAAAGTTATGTAGACTATTGGGGTCTGAGTGAGTTACACAGGTCAGTGAACAGAACTAATGAGTGTTCTTGCAAGAGATCTTTTGGGTAGGAAGTGAAATGTGGTTTATGTGCTAATGTCAAGTGGTGGTGTGGGTATGTATGTGTGATTAGCTGTTTTGATTAAAGAATCTGGCCCTAGTAACTATGGGCTGACTGACTATGGAGTAATGGATACTCCTATAACTAATACTGTTTAACAAATAAAATATTTGTTTGGTATTTAAAAAAAATTAAAAATTCAACCACGAGATTGAAAGTTTTATGCAATTACAAAAAAATTTATCAGAAGTTGGTTGAGTGTATTCGTCTCTGACAAACTAGTGATTGGTTGCACTGCTGGAAATTCATTAGGTTTTGGGAAACATTCACTTTGTGCCTTGGAATAGCAAGATGCTTGGTTTTTACACAGATGCGATGTCTCGCGTGCTTTTGTCATGTGTAACTGGCTACTGCCTCCTGGGTTCACATTCAGAGCCTGGATTTTGTTCTCTGCTGTTGCAAATACTAAATGGTGACGATGTGCTCTGCTGCTACTGTTATTTCAGGGTAGATGAACTAGAAAAGCGGTTGCAGGAAGACATAGAAAGAGACGACAGTGTTTCCGATGGAGAAAATGAGGAGAATGGCAGTGGAGATGAAGATCTCTCGGAAGAACACAGGTCCTTCCAACTCCAAAACCAATTAAATCTAGTTCTTTGCTTTTCTGGCTTATTTTTTCCAAACCTCTCTTTATTTGCAATAGTTGTTGTTAATATGTTTAATGTAGACCATTTTTATATCTTTTAGGGTTGAGTGGGTTTCCCTGGGTGTTACTGTATTTTTAACAATTCAGCTTTCACGTAAGACTGATGTGTTCAACATCTGCAAATAATTGTCTCAAGCAGCAAATAGCTTCTCAATATTTGAATTAACAAAAGCAATTTTCAATTTTACAGGGCGTTTACAAAGAGATTTTCAGTAGTAGTCAATGCCATACCTGACTACCACCCTGGAGAAGATATATTTGATTTATCAGCTTCTGGGCAAATCTTCAATCAACATAACCTTGACTTGAGGAATTTTTACCTCAGCCCTCAAAATCCTGTAGAAAAGCTGCTTCTTAAGTAAGGATATCCTCTTTACTTTGTTGTGTTTACTCATATAATTTTCTTCGGTGTTAGCAGTTTTAAGATAAAATAGTATCTTTGCATATAAATGTGCTCTGTCTTACTAAGTAGGCAAGACTAACTTCCTTTCCCTGGAATTTTCCTTGCTCGGTTAGCTTTACAGAACAGTAAATTGTAACTTGAAGCTTCCTTCCTTCCTCCTCTGCAATTCTTGAAAAACCTCTTACGTGAGACATAAAGAAACAAAGAGCTGTTCTGGCCTCTTCCATATTTCTGCTGCATTGGGCTATCGTTGATAACCTGACCAGCTTGTGGAAGACAAATGCAGAAGTGAAATATTTAAATGAACATAAGCTTAACTATCCCCAGATAGAAAGAGAACCTTTGTGGTGAACTGATTTGTGATCTTCTAGTGTTGCACTGTGTCTATTGAAAGACTTTTAGTGCTTCCGTCCTGGAATGGCCTGGGACTTGAGGCTTCACCTAATGAGGATTGCAGAGCGTCATGATCTCTGACACCTGCTAGACTCAGTCACTCACAGGCAATCAGTGTGTCTGTGTGTATATAAACAAGTGCTATGGAACTCATAGGCATTTCTGTTCTATATTTACAAGGCTGTCAGACTATAAATAGCTGGACAAATTCTTGCCTAATGCCACAAGTGTAAATCCTGAAAAATTCTGGTTGTTTCAGTTGGTATTTGATTGCAAACATCTATCAGTGGAACTGAGAGAATTCTTTCTCTTAAAGGATTTTATATACATGTATATGTGCAGTTGTGGGTGTGAAGAGGAGGAGGGTGACTTCTCATCTCTTGAGGAAGTGATGTTTGTGACACACTCCTTTGGCTTCAGGCCTTTCTATTAATGTGTTTTGGAGATCACAAGGATATAAGCTTCAAAAGTATCTTGTAAATCAGTGACTGGAGGAATGAGAATTAAGCTAATCATCCCTTACAGAAGGCAATTATGATTTAATTGCTTATGCATTCTGTCCAGTTGGCACAGCTGGCACGTACTGGCTGCCCAGTTGGCACATGGAGGTCTTCCCAGTCAGACAGGTAGAGGGTATATGTAGGAGTTAGGACACAGATCTCTCAACAGAGTTACCTGATTCAGTAGATACAGAGAATGGAGGAAACTAAAGAAGGATGTGTGGGAAACTGTATATCATTAATTCAGCTGCTTTTTACATACCTAGCTCCCTAAGGAAGACTAAAACTAAAATAATTCAGTGATAGCAATGACATACTTTCTGTTCTTCTAACAGCTTTTTTTTTTTGCACCTCACAAATTTGCACAGTAAGATTAGGCTGTTTGATTTTAATTGCCTTCAGACTCTTTATTTAAAAGAGTATTTTAAAAACAATGTTTTTTCTCTTTTCTTCTGAAAGTGTTGGTAGAGGTCATTGGACAATTAAAAGTCTTATTCACTGGTCTCAGTGAGCATAACAGCCTGTCTGTGCAGTCAGGCATAGTGGTTCACAGTACAGTAGTGTAAATCAATGTTTATTTGAAACTTTTATTCTCTAATGATGTAAATGTTTCCAAACTGTATGTTATGGCATTCTGGAGAAAAAGATAGTTGTTCTAAATGACATTTGTAAATTTGATTGCTATTACAAATCAAGGTTTGATTACTATAGCATTTTATATAGGTAATAGCATGTGAATGACATCTGGTTTGGATATTCAGATCTTTCTTTGCTGTTGATGACCTGAGGGGTGGGGAAGTTCTTATGCTTTTGTGGAAGTAATGATTCAACCACTAATTGATTTTTATCCTCTTTCCTCACCCCCATCTTTCTCTTACAGTTCTGGTATAAGGCAGCAGCTTTATTTAGCTGTTAATGGGTTTTTAAGTTCTTCTTACAGTTGTATATTGTGTCCCACACCAATTCTGAAATGGCTTTTCCAGGTAAGTCTATGCTACTCATGCAGTTATACTCTGTACATGTATAATATATTTCCTGGAAGCCAGTTGTAGCAGGAATAATCAGAAAAGTTTGTGAATCTGTTCCATTAGGCTAACAACTTCTAAATCAAGAAGTCTCTCCTTTTTTTTCCTTTCTTCCCCCCTTTCTTCCCCCCTTTCTTCCCCCCTTTCTTCCCCCCTTTCTTCCCCCCTT